ACGTTCGTCCGTTAGTTTGAAAATCAGTTAAGGCAGGTTTGTAGAAAGACCCACCAAGTTTTGGTTTGACGAATCCGTTGGTAACTCCCAGATTGTGTGCGGCGACCGTTTCTCCGTTGACCACCCGGAACAGCGTGAACTCGGAAGACAGAGTGTGCATGACCAGTGGCAGGTCTCGCTCTCGGACCTGAAACAGATATATTAGCAGAAGCATTCAGAGGAGATGTCGCAGAAAGCTTTTGTTGTTGTTTTTCCTTGAATCATTTAAAGTTTCTTTGTTGTTTTTGTTTTGTTTTGCAGGAAATGCAGCAGAAGAATTTTATTAGCCTGAAGCTAATTTAGGGACAGGATTTCCCTGAGATGCACCGATATGGAAATTTGGGCCAATGCCGAATACGGACTAATGGCCTGCATTTACAGATTATTTTTATTATTTTTTTATTATTATATATTATACATGTATGTTTCACTATCCTTTTTAAACTGTGAAAAGATCAATATTTTTGTAATATAATTAAGCATTTACCCATCAGTTTCCTGTCAGTGAATAAAAACAAACCCTGTTGATATGCCGAGTTCATCTGTAAGCGTTAAAGATCTTCATACAATTACATGTATAGCTTCACACAATATAAAAACCTTTCATAAAACTATTTTGCTTTTAAATTATAGAATAATGAGGCATTAAGTCTGAAAATGTAAAAACTTTTGTTTCCTTCCAAAAATTGGAGATGACAATCCTTTATCTCGCAGTTTGGGATTTAATTTACTGATAAATGCAACACAAAGAAACTTAACAGCTAATGCAGATTTCTATTTATTTTCTTTTCCACAAAAAAAATGGGATAAAAATGTAAAATAAAACATTATGGGGCGATGAAGCATTAATGATGAGGCGACCAGTGCAGTAAATGTTTGCTTCTTTCAGTGTAAAACAGCCCATGTGGAGACAGGAAGCAGGTCTGAGTTTGGTGCCGTTTCCAAGAAGCTGAGCTGCTGATCCTCTTTATGTAACAGATTATGAACATGCACAGAGCCTTTATTTTGTCCTGTATAAAAAAAAAGAAAAAAAAAAAAGGAGCAGGTCACCAGACCTTGTTTTTCCACAAGAGTGAAGCAGTAAGACTCCATCTGGCCTAAGAGGCCTGGATTTCCTTCTAATTTAAAAATCAGACAGTCAGCTGGAACCAGAACATTACATCCACTGTTATTGCCTTTTTCATGTCAGGCTCTATGCTTATAAACAACTGTGCTGCCAGTGGTTGCATAACAGACAAATAATGCATCAGTTACAGCAGGCTACAAAGCTGATCAGCTGTGAGCTCTGGGCCGGCATGTGTGATGCGACACCGACCTGTCGTGTTATACCCAAGATGGAGGGTTAGATAAAAACTATTTCTGTAAAATCTTAGCTTAACCACATGCGAACTGATTACTTAGAGCTGGGTTAGCATTGCAGCAGGTTTCATAGATGATTAAACCTCACCTGCTATAAAGACGCTTATCAAAGCAGAACATCATTAAAACTTGATTTGTCAGGAATTCAGTTCCTCGTTGTTAGGGAGCTTTTTTTACTGCATTTTTATCTGCTGCTAAACTTTCTGTATATATGCACGGTAGCATTACTCTAAACAACCATCTTCTTTATCCTACCTAGTGAAGGAGCGTCTGCAGGAAAAATGTGAAACGCTTCAGATGTTCTTCAGGTTTTTTTAAGTTATTTTTCCAAATTGTTTCAGGTCGGTACCTGAATAATTTTT